CTGTGGTGACCTCATCAGCACCTGTTCCACTCTCTCTCTCTCTCTCTCTCTCTCTCTCTCTCTCTCTCTCTCTCTCTCTCTCTCTCTCTCTCTCTCTCTCTCTCTCTCGCTTTTGCACATTGGAATCAGATTGTCGGTATTTCAATGGGAACTAGTGCTTGCCCAGAGATTTTAAATCTGATGCTTTATTGGGATGAAGTGCATTTTGTTGATGATGTTTATCAGGATGATCCTCAAGCTGCTCAGGGCCTCATTGATGATGAGCTTTCATGGTGGCAAGTACCCCCTCCACCAGGGCACTACAGCCTTGAGTTGTAGGAAATTGCAGCATCAGATGGCCCCTGTACCTGTTCGGGTATGCATATATGGGTCTGTTTTGATGGCTCTGCCTAGGGCTTCTCTGCATTTATTATCCAAGTGCAACCTCCAACATATTTTCCCATCAACCACCTGGTGCGTTCACAAGGCAATTGACCAAATTTGAAAAGATCTGTAACAATTGGCGGGACTCTTGAACTGCGCAATCAACACTTACTCGCCGCATGCTTTCTTGTGGCATCTCCCATCAACGCCACTATCTTACACATGTGACGCCTCTCTCTCAGTGGTTCTGACGCATGCTTTAAGTGGTCCCTGTATCATGATTTTTGATTTGCCCTCATGAAGCTCTTGTCCTGCTACTGCTTGTTCATCTGCTGCTGCTGCAATTTCTACTGCCGCAGTTTCCACTACTACGGTGTCCGTTGCCGCGGTTTCCACTGCTGCAGTTTCCACAGCCGGAGTTTGCCCTACTGTGTTTTTCGCTGCTACGACTTACTCTGCTGCAGTTCTAGTGCAGAGAACATCACAGTGTCTCCGACATTCATGTTCTTTATTTTGAACTCTTGCCCAATCAATCTTTCTGTGCTTGGGTGCAGACAGCTGCGTTCCTCCTTGCCACCCCCGTCTCCTCCAGTGTCTCACTTGCAAACAGACTCTCTTTTTCCCATTGCTCCACCCTCGTCGCTGGAGACACGCTCATCTCCACTTTGTCACACCACGATGACTCTTATTGTGTATCCTTGACGCCATGTACCACTTTGTCGCTCGTTCAGGGATCAGCAGCCTGTTCCTTGGTTTGCCCCGATTCTCTCTGTGCCCGCTCCACAGGTTATTGCTGTTCCTTTGTTCCAAATGACAATATCCGCGCCTATACCGACCGTCCGGCTTCCTGTTGGTAGCCATGAGGCTGTGTTTTATGCCCTACAGCATTGGATATTCACCAGCCACTTCCAGAGCAGGATATGGTCCCTACCCAGGTTACACTCCCACTTCAAGGGGCAGTCCCCACTCAGGATGCAGCCCCAAATGTCCTGAGATTACGACATGATTTGCCCAAATTGCAAATTGTCCCACAAGGTGTATAGAGTACAATGGTGATCTGCGAATGGCTGACCAGCATCATTTGGCTGATCTGCCAATTGCCCCTCGAAGGCGTAGACCACATGTGTCATCTGCATGACTGACCAGCAAACATCCCATGACATCTTGGGATTGCAACACCATGTGGGTGATCCACAATTGTTGGCTAGCATCTGGCACAACAGCTTGAGATCCTCCCCAGTCTCTGTGGTCTGGCTGTGAACTAATATTTCTCTGAACATTCTCCACCACGTGGTTTATACAGTGTCGGACTTTCTTGCAATTGCCCTTCAGCTTGATGTGGATCTTCCCTGCCTACAGGCTGAGGATGGTAATAATACCAGACAAGGCGGCTTCGCAATTGCAGTCCTACGAGCTTTGCAAATGCAGTCATACAAGTAGCATTGAGGGCCCACCGGCTTGACCTATGCAATGCTCAAGTAGGCGAGTGGTATTATCCTCCATCCCACATTGTGGCCTGCATTGTACGGGGCCTGGCCATTACATGGCTATTGTACATGCCCCTGACCACTGGGAGCTGTAGGACAATGGCACCATGCTCCATGTTGTAACAGATGTTGCTGATTTCTTACCTAACCATGCTGTTTTCTTGCCTCAGCAAAACGTTTGCACACTCCTTTATGTAGAATATCGTTTCTCTGCCCGTGCCGCAGCAGGACAATGTATCAAAATTCTTGGACCTTGTCCCTTGCACAGCTACAAACACTGTTACATGGCTGCAGTCTTCGTCGTCTGTGTCACAATCACTACAATGAAGTGGTTTCTGCATCCACGTGTGTGGACTGTCCCTCCGTTCCTGGCAGCAAGCACCCTCTGCATCCGCACGTATATGTCCATTTTGCGGTCATGGGCATTAATACAGAATGCATGGTCTTTTCTCGTGCCCGTTCCTCTTCCATGCTGGGCTGCAATTGACATGTCGAGAGTTTTTGGTGGGCATGCTCAATGCCATCTGTCATGGCAATTGTTGTACTGAGAATGCTCAGCTAGGTCGTCATCCATCTCCTCCTTACAAGGTATGTCCTTTCTGTCGTCCAAGGCAGACATTCCTGAGCCTGCTCTGATCCTTTCCTATGCTTTCATCTGCATTTCATACTCCTTACTACCCCTTAATTGCTTCCTTGACTTGATCCTTTGCTTCGTCTTCTGTCCATCTTTTCACCTGTTTATTCCCTCTCTCTTTACTCTTGCCTTTTTTTTAAAAGTGTACGAGTGGGCCATTCTGGCACACGGGGATGCAGGCATGTCATGCTGAAGTTCACCAATGGGGCGAGCCTTGTACGTAAGAGACAGAGTAAAGTGGGAGCTTAAAGAGGAAATAATCAAAGAGGCAACAGTAAGGAAAGAAAACGAAGGACTGTGTACAAAGAGGCAAAAGCACGGTTTCAGTGTGCTCTTCATGTTTGTCTTCTGTATTTTTATTGTTAGTTTCGCAAAGTGCGCTTTTTTGGCTCTTTTAGTTGATAGACATGTGACAACATGTGTACCACAAGCACCAACTGAATGGAGTTTCGGAAGATGAGTGCCGGTCTCTCTCCTTCTCTTAGAGTCTTCAGGTAGCCATGGCTACCAGCCAACAGGTAAGCTTTGTCTTCCTTCTTGCCAACCCTTCTTCGATGGTTACCTCCTCCTTCCAATCTCCACAGTAGGCCTTCCTCCGTAAGATGCAATACTTTACCAATCAGCTCCATCAGCTTTAAACCACCACTTCCTTTCAGAGGCAAAGGCTAAGTCAAAAATATAAGGTATAGGTATACCGCATTCTTTGGAAGCCAGGCCCCACCGTACCAAAATGGCTGGCGGCCCCAGGCAAAACAAACGAAAAACAGCTGCGCTGGCGCTTTGACAAAGCTTGGCGCGCAGTGCTTCTCTGCAGGTAAGCACTCTCCAGTTAAGATTCCTAGTCCCCAACCCTTGGACTCTACCTCATATCTCTCCCCTTCTCTCACTCTCATGTATGGTGCATCAGCACACCCTACTGGTTACGGCTACGGCTCTCTCTCTCTCTAGCTATGGCAGCCTCACACTCTGTTTCTGCCTTCTTCTCTCCACACTCCAGGGCACTGGGTCCTAGCAGCACTCCAACAAGTCCAAGTCAGGATGAATGAACGAGCTGTGGCAGGCTCAGTCTTTGTATTTTTGTCTCGACTAAGTCTGCCTCTAATTGCCTCCTTGGATGGCTGATATCCCACGATCTGTGTGGCCAGCAATTTGTCGTGCCTGGACCCAGCAGGCCTTGGAAGCTTCTGGAAACTGTTACTGAGCCTTCGGATTGTTTGTGATCTCTGGTGTTGTTGGCTCTGGGGATATCGTTGACTCATTGACTTCTGTGCCCACGTTGAATTTCCTCGGGCCTGAGTTGACCTTTTCTGGCCCTGTACAGCTCGTTTTGGCCTCGGCTCGCAGCCCTACCGACTAACGCCTTCTCAGACACGTTCTGAGGCCCAGTAGAGTGATCTTTAACCCGAGAAATTGGACTTCAGCCATGGCCCAAAAAACTCGTTTGCATGCTCATTCAACCTCATTTCTGGCTGGGTCCCAGCGCAATTTTGCAATGTTCTCTATCCAAGGCTGGACTGAACATTTTCTACCGGTCTGAGGGCCATTTGACTGATTCCTGGGCCCTGCAGACCTGTTTGGGAGGACGTTTGTTGTCTCAGACTTCAAAAGGATGTCTTGATACTGGATTTTAAGCCCAGAAGTCTAAACACGAGATAAATCCTGACCATAGATTCGGATGTAGTAGTTCGTTGTTGTGCTTCTGAACCCAGTACGAAAAGATGAGGAGGAGCTGGGCACATACGTTGCCTTTGCATGTTTGCTTCATGTGAGCCAATCAAGAAAACATAATACATTCCATTTAGGTTTTGTGACCTCCTGCCCCTGATGCTCAGGTTAACCTGAACTCCGTTGTTGGGAGATGTGGAGGATGAGGCAGAGAAAGCCTTGGGATATCTTTATCTTTCAGGCCAGACTCCAGAGCTAGTATTGTTTTCTTGTACATTCCGAGTAGTGCCAAAACCCGTGCTCATTCTGTTGAAATGTCGTCTCAGGGGAAGGGTGGAGGAGTGGGAAAGGTCTAGGTGGGTGTGATGGTGGCTCAGAGGGCCTATCATCCTGAAAGTTTGAGAAAGTGGGGAGGATCGCACACCAGTTCATCAGTTTAGTAGGTTCAACATATGGTTTTGCTTTCCCTCTTTGCTGACTTAGTACTGCATGGTTTTGATTCCCCTGTTTGCTGCAGTTGAAAATTTCTCTCTGGCATTGCGTTGTGGGTCCCTCACCATTAAAAAAAATTGAAAAAGAGAGAGAGAGAGAGAGAGAGAGAGAGAGAGAGAGAGAGAGAGAGAGAGAGAGGTGAGAGGAGGGAGTTGTGAATATATGTGATGGAGAGAGGGAGATGGGAGGTTATCAGTGTGAATGGGGAGATTGCTACGGCTTTGTGATGTGACAGGTGTTTTCAAGCGAGCAAGGAGATCACTGCTGCTTTGTGATGTGGATTCCAATAGAAGATGGGTCTCCACTGTTGAATTCGTTGTCAGCACCTTCTTCACGTATGACTATGTTTCAATGTGCAGGCAATCACAGCGCTCAAGAAGGGTGCGACCCTGTTAAAATACGGGAGAAGGGGGAAGCCAAAGTTCTGTCCGTTTAAGCTCTCAGCTGTAAGTTGTCGGTGATAATCTCCTGACTGAATACTTCGAAGGTCAACACACGATTTCGCTGTGTTCTAAACCGTTTTCCACATTTCTTCTGGGAGTACAGCTGGCTTTTGCAAATTTATTGTATTCTCTGGAGCCGTTCACTGGCTGGAAACCATTGGTCAAGGGCGCTGAGTTGTCCGCACTCATGCATGTCAGATTTATATGTTGGGGTGCTGCTGTGGCCATCTTTCCATGGATGTAACACTCCATGATATATATCTGTAAACGACTGGTACAGGCAGCTTGTATACATTGATGATGATTGGGCATTGCATTAGAAGGCTGTCCTCCAGCAACTGCCGATGGAAAATCCTGTTGGGGCAGCGGTAGCTGCGGATCATGTGATGGGCCTGTCCCGATCATCTTTCCATGGATGCAATGCGCACTTTTTTTATGTCTTTAATGGAATGTGAGCAGACACCCTGAACACACTGATGCTTATGGGGCATGGCATCTGAGGTAACAGTAGGGTTGTTCTCCTCAAGCTGGCAAGCAATGGGAGCTAAGTATGTGAAATCGTGTTGGGTCAACAGTAGGTGCACATCACTGAGTAGGCCCGTAAGGTATCAATCATTGCCATGTCAGGTCGGGGATGCCCAATTCTGAGCTGAAAAAAGTTATCTATTTGCAATCTTCCTCAGCACTAGCTACGATTTTGAGGCAGACCCTGAGCCAAATGATGTTTTTGTCTTGTACAATGCTTCGTTAGAGTTTTTGACAAACTGGGGCATTTCGAAAACTTAAAAATGCGCAAGGTGTTAGACAGGTATCTGCGCATCTGATAGCATGCTTTACAGAGATTCTGCAGGTGACCGCCGAGATGTTTGGATCATAACCACGGTTTTGAATTTGTACGTTCGCATAGGGCCAGTATGTTTATGTTCATGTGGTTCTCTTTCCTTTCAGTTTTGGGGATAGTGAAAGAGAGTATCTGGAGATGCTTAGTATCAATGCAAAAAGGTGAAAACGATTGTTGGATTTGCTACGGAACGGTTCTTCTCAAAGAGTTTTGCAACAATCTTATTGTACTGTGAATGCTGACTCTTTGTTGGTGGCACCTCTCATCATGTTCAAACGTTTGGCAAGTGGGGGCGTACTCCATGCTCCACAAGTGGTTAAAATTTAACGGGCATGAGGATGACCCATATTGTTAATGCTGTGCATAACTTCCATCATGGCATTGTGTAGGGTTTTTAGTAATAAGGAAGATGAGCTGGAGCCCACCTTCCAAACAGCTGTTGTAGAACACCGCAGTTGCAGTGGATGCTTTCCCTACGAGCCCAACAGTGCATTTCAATTAGTATTGTTTCCTTGAGACTGAACTTTTGCAGCTATCCTTTGACGAGTTATACTACCGTCTTTCCCCAGATAGACTGATCTAGACTGAAGTTAGGCGAAATGCAGACATAATTACTGCATGTTCTATTCGGAGGTAACTATAGCTCAGCACGTCTTCCTTACTCGCGTTTAACAAAATGCTGATCCTGTGTGAAGCTCCCATGTGAGACCATGGCCGCTGTGTTGGGAAAATGGTTGCTGGGCCCAAAAGAACAGCGAACCTCGCATGGGACATGATCCGAGGTGTGGGTCAGGGTGTTGTAGGCTTCTTTTTTCCCTGGGGCCTGTCGGTGGCGGGCGAACCGGTGGGAGAGGAGAGCGGTCCCATATGACAATCTCTCTGGAGGGTGGGAGGGGTACATCCCACACGTCGGCAACGGTGACGGTGAGGAGGTTGACCATTGTGGAAGAGGAAGAGGAGGATGGAGCACGACGAACAACATGGAGGTGGGAGGAGCAGTAGGGAGGACAAGGATGATGCGGATAAGGGAGGAGGATAGAAGATGCAGGTTAAGATGATGGAGGAGGATATAGGGCGAGTCCCATCATTCAGCCCTAACCCCACTTCTCTCCTAATATCTATGGCTATGGCGGAACATCCAGACTCGTCGCGGATGTTCAAACACAAACGCTACTACGCGAGTCCCATCATATTCCCGCCATAGCCACACTCTTGGAAGATGTCCAAGACCAACCAGGACCCAAACTGGGGCCTTCTTGATGCAGCAACAACCAAGGAAGCAAGGATGATTCTATGCGATTGTAAATTTGCATCATCTCATGCAAATCGATTAATCAATGAATTGATCGATCACTCGTTAACTGACATTTCATCATCATCAGGGCACCAGGATGAATCATTGCAAGTCTCGCCACCAAGTGCTTAAGTGTGGAGAAGTGCTTAAGTGTGGAGAACAACGGAAGGAGGGAAGAAAATGGGACATGCCGTGAAAGAGAAAGCAATGAAGTATATGCTGTAGAAGAAAGTGAGAAAAAATAGTGAGAAAGAAAAGGAAGCGGGATGCGAACATGAATCAATTTGATAACTCCTCTCTTCCTCTCGCATGGTTTGTGTTTCAGGATGAAACTGAACTGATATGGTATTCAGGGCCTCAAGAGAAGACGTTAAAACTCAAATCGGTCACCTCAATTCTTCATGGTCAGCGTACGGTACGTGCTTTTGATTGCCTGTTGTCGCATTCTGGTTTGTAGAAAAGAACCGAAGCCCCTAGACATCAGTGATTGCCTCCACAAAAAGCCCTCTGAACGGAGGAATCGATAAGTTTTGAATATGGAATATCGTTGCTACTTGCATTTCTGCTATCTGACCTTCTGCTCCTACGATGACATAACAATCTGTAGGCTCTTCAGAAAACCTATGCCTGAGTCAGAAGGTTGAGTTCAACCATGTAAAAACATCTAGCCCATGGGCAGCTCTTGCCGATGTGCGCCGTGTACGGTGTGGGCAACTATCTCGAAACTGGTCTGCAGTTTTGTTGTGCTGTTGGAGACGTCTCATTGTTTGGGAGTGCATTTGGCTTGAGTGAAACTTGGAGGAACTCCTTGTTCAGTTGTTTGTGTTTTTGAGACATTTCCGACTCTCATTTCTTTGAAATGCTTGTGGGATTCAGACCCCCTTCATTGGCCTGTCGAATACTAATCATGGAGCAAATGCACTAGACCCTAAGAGACAACATTGTGATTGCTCATCTGCTATGTGTGTACGCAATCACTGATCTGCCGTCTGGGTATGGAATGAGGTTCTGTTTTCCACAACAAGTTTCCTTCACATCGCTATGAGATGAGCGAATACATAGGGAGAGACATGATGATTGTTTTTGTTTGTTTACAAAACGTCATGAATGCTCCTGGAGACCCGCTTATGGCCATAGCTTGACGTGCTATCTTGAGGTATTCGAACAGTGGATCACTTTCTTTTAAAGACTTTAATGATCAGTGGATACGCCATTGGATTTTTTTGGGTATGTGGTCGTCTTTGTTAACAATAAAAAAGGCACCATGTACCTATAAAACCCACTTATGGCCATGGCTTGACGTGCTATCGTTGTGTGGCCCAATGGTTGATCAGTGGATATTTTCCCATGCAGTAGTATTGTTGAAAGGAGAAGCTTCTGTTAGCGATGTGGGTGATTACAGTTGTAGCATTTTGGCTCACTAGGAAAGCAATAGGGATGTCTGTAAGTTATCCCAATGATGCTTTTAAACCATGACTTCCTCCGGGACCTGATGTGCAAAAGGAAATAGGTTTTTTGAGGCCAGCTAAAGGACTGGTTTCCAGCAGTCCAGTTATGGGCGTCCTTTGCAAGTTTGCTCTCATCTGAACGTTCTTGCCCTGTACCAGACCTTCGATGAATGAGCCAAGTTCAAGATTCCGGGTGCTGTCAACACCTTACTGACCTCAGAAACTGATGACACTGATTCTAAAACTGTTACATGCTGCGCCTGCACACGAGGGCCATTTTCCAGGCCCTGCGTCCCTCAGGCTGAAAGCCTGACTGAAAGCCTGAAATTCAGGCTTAAAACCTGAAAACCAGGGCCTACAGGCCCCGTGACTGTTCAGCCCGAAAGCCTGAAAACAGGGGTCTACAGTCCCTGTGTCGTTTCAGACTAAAAATGGCAACAGCCTTTTTAGCCTGAAATGAAGGGCCATTTTCGGTCGTTCATCAGGCACCGAACCAGGGTTTCAGGAACAGGCTATTCTTAGCCTGTTCCCCACGCCAGCCTCAGAAGCTGCTGCAGCGCCAGTCCCTGGCACACTTCGGCATTGGCAAGAGCAGCCTGCTCGGCCTGACTCGCCCTTCAGGCAGTCAGGAGGCAGGCCGAGGTAGTACATAGGGACTTCCCATGCACTTCACGGGTAGGCAGGAGGGAGTAGTAGTCTTCAGGATTCGGCAGCAGCACTCTGGAGGGAGTGCTGCAGGAGTAGTAGTAGCGTTAGCCTTAGTCTTCAGCGCTGGGCGCAGTAGGTATCTGTAGTCTCCAGCGCTGGGCGCCATAGCTAGGATAGCACTAGAGAGAGAGAGATTGGGACGAGGCCTTGGGTATCTACC